TGGAGCATTTTTTTATTTTTTAACAGGGATTAGCCCACCCAGGCATAGATCACTGACCCACATCGGGGCCTGGGGGGCGAAAATGTAATGGTAATGGTAATACTAATTATAATAATAATAATAATAATTATAATAATAATAATTATTCATAGTAAATAAAAATTTTAATTAAAAAAATACACCAAAATAAAATAATAATGGTAACAATAATACTGTATTAATAAAATAATAATAATAATAATAAAGAAATACAAGAATGAAAAAAGATAAAAAGTGAGAAACACGACCTAGACCTATGAATTATTATTATTACCTGTATTATTATTATAATTATTATTATATTTTCGCCCCCCCAGGCCCCAATGTGGGTCAGTGACTTGTGCCCAAATAAAAAAAAAAAAAAAACCTAACCATTCTGAAAACCGAAAAATTCCGAAATCCGAAATGCCTCTGGTCCCAAGGATTTCATTTTACGGATTGTCAACCTGTAATGCTATAACGAACGAAATTCCTAACACAAACAGTATTTTTTTTTATTATACTAATTTATTGTTTTTTTTATTACAAGTATTAATGATATTCTTTATTTCAGGAGTTTAGATGCATATTTATGCACTTTTTTACAATTTTTACAATTTTATATTATATTTTTCAGTGTTAAGTGGTTGTATTTGGGGGCCTGGTACGGATTAATCCTATAACGAACGAATGCTATAACGAACAAGGTTCTAGAACCAATTAGATTAGTTATATATATATATATATATATATATATATATATATATATATATATATATATATATATATATATATATATATATATATATATATATATATATATATATATATATATATATATATATATATATATATATATATATATATATATATATATATATATATATATATATATATATATATATATATATATATATATGCTGATAACCACAAGGAAAGAAGAAAACACGAAGTTCCCAAGCGCTTTCGTGTAATTCACATCTTCAGGGGTGAGTACAGACATTGTGAGTGATGTTTAAAGCTTCAACTGTCTTTATGTTTGGTAAAACTTGTCAAGTCTGTCAGTCTGAATGGCATGTGTGAGGCCTTGTGTTTGTTAAAATTTACCCCAATTTCCGTAAGGGCGGATTTACGGGCCGTAAAGCGAAATTATTGGTCACAATTTACAAATTCCGTAAGAGTGAAATTCCGTAACCCGGGCTTCCGTAACGCGGGGGATGTATGTATGTATGTATGTATGTATGTATGTATGTATGTATGTATGTATATATCATGTAAATCCACAATGAAAACGTGGATAAGATAAATCTTGATAAAATCACACGGGAAAAGGGAAACAATGGAGCACCTTAGCTTTCGTCTTTATTCAAGACATCTTCAGAGGCAACTCTGAAACAACGGAGCTAAGGTGCTCCGTTGTTTCCCTTTTCCTAGGTAGTAGGCAGCTACCAAATGGGGAGGTGCTACCACCTGGGAAGATATTGCAAGCATAATGCATTGTCTAATAGTAGACCCTGCTGCCATATGGCTTCACAAAAATTGTGACCAAGTCCCAGGTTGCTGATCTGAGTTTCTGCTTCATTTACACACAATTGTAGGGTCTCAATTGTTTCTCTTACTATGGACAACACAACATTATATACAGTACTGTATATTGTTTCTCACTATTGATTTTTTTTTCATTTTTGTATTCCTTTATTATTATTATTATTATTATTATTATTATTATTATTTTTATTATTATTATTAGTGTTATTATTATTATCATTATTAATTTATTATTTTATTTTCAATTTTGTATTTTGTATTAAAAATTTTATTTACTATGAATTACTATTACTTGTATTATTATTATTATTGTTATTATTTTATTTTTGCCCCCAAGACCCGATGTGGGTCACTGACCTGTGCCCGGGTGGGCTGGCACACGAAGAATTGTTTAAAGAAATGTTTATTCCCTTTATGTCTTTGACCTTATGATAATTTTTTTTTGCATATTCTGTATGTAGAATTGTGTGTGCATGTAACTGAGTAAAACAAATGAGAAAAAGTTAAGTTTAACTTACAGCTTACCAGCTTGGCCTGGTAGCAAGAGGGCTCGGGGGATGTGACTACAATACAGTCAGGGCTCACCCCAAGGGGTGGAGAATGGTAGAATGAAAGATGCAGGCTGGGGGGACGAAGTGGGAGGGAGGGGGGTTTGCTATGAATTATTGAGCGAGAATACATCTCTGCCCATTTCTCCATGGCAGCCCAGCTGACTCCAGGAGGCATGCGATTTTAATTTTTGCTGGTACCCAAATTCGTATAAGCAGGGGAAGTTTTGCTAAATGAAAAAAAAAAGTGTTGATTTAGGAAATTCACATAAGCGAATTTTCGTATCTCCATTTGTTAAATGAGGGATACCTGTATTGCGTACTCCGCTCCTTCAACTTAAAACGAAAACTATGAGAGCCAGTGACCCAAGACTCCCCTAACCTATAGTAAAGCTATTTGAGTACAGGTACAGATAAACCTCGATACAATGTCCTATTCAACAATATTCCACTTTAAGGGAAGAGGTGACTAACACGGGAACCCAATGACTACACCGCAGTCTATTGCGACTCTCCGTCGCCCCACTTGTTGCAGCTACCTGCACCACTGGATCAGGAAAAGGGGGAGCCAAGATGTGTGGTTGCAGCCTACGCTCCTGCCTCACCACATAAATCAACTCACGTGCAGCCATCATCCAGCTCACCATACTTCCATCAAGGGTGTCAATACTTTTAAGTTAGCCCGACTGCATACTGAGGCAGACAAGCGCCAGCACCATAAAGACACTGCCGCTGCCCCTCCTGCACTAAATATAGCCCTCCACATATGTAACACATGTGGTCGGCCCTGCTGGTCCCGTATCGGCCTCTTGAGTCACCTCAGAGCTCACCAACGCAGGTGATATCTTTAACCCTCTCAGCCTCACACAACGCCATTGTGGCGTCAAAAATAAAAGGCGATAAAACTTACGCTCAGCCTCGTGACGCCAATGTGGGGTTCAATGGGCTATACCGTATTTTCAAATGACTCAAAAACTATTCAGTGAAACTAACTGAACTTTGGACGCCATTTGACAGACGTCGTTTTCTTTGTGTGGGCCTTATCACCTTCCCCGAGACGGTCATGGTCATCATGTGCATGGCAGCGCAGCATAAAGCCATTAGAGCGAGAGGAGGGTGCGCCGCTCGGCCCTTTAATTATTCCACGAGTTTTTGTTCTTTATTTTGGTATATAGTACATATCAATGAACACCATAATACAAGGAAAATGTGAATAGAAATCGAGCTGTTACTAAACATTTTCCTACTTTTCAACTTATACTCGAAAAAAGTGGCTTAAGTTTAAAAAAAAATCATTTTTTTATGGTTTCAGACAATTTTATGCAAGAAGAGACCCCATTACAATTAATAAAATAATTCCATGGCAGTGAAGAGCCCTAAAACAATATAAAAAATCAATGATTTTTCGGGAAAAACCTCCGAGGCTGTGAGTAAGTTTTCAAGCACGTATGTGTCTCAGGCTCCGAGGCTGAGAGGGATAATAGCTTATATCATTGTATCATGGCTGGATGATCACCAAACTCGATTCTGAGTGACAGTAAAGTAAAGTGTGTGTGTGTGTGTGTGTGTGTGTGTGTGTGTGTGTGTGTGTGTGTGTGTGTGTCCCTAGGATATTTATAGGATCCACCCTTGGGTCATAAGTGTTTTTGTAAAAACAAAATGTTGCGACAATACAAATTCAGAATCTAAGAATTATTTGATGAAAAGAAAGGAGATATGCCAGAAATATGTAAAGGAAGTGAACATTTAAATTACAAGAAATATTTAAGAGCCCAATACATTATCTGAAGACTCACATGTTGCCAAACTTGTTTATATACTACGGTATCAGGGAAATTGCCCAACTCTTATACTACCATGATGTAAAAAAAATATATAAATTAAATTTCAAATTAATAAGTGTATTTACCTTAGCAGTGATGTGGTCATTTAACCCTTAGGCCCCGGGTGACGTTCCAGAACGTCCTACTAGCGTGCCTCGGGTGACGTTCCAGAACGTCCACCTATTTTCCCGCCATTTTTTTTATTATTTTTGGAAAAGTTGATTTTTTTCACGATTTAACCCAGCGGGGGGGTGGGGGGGGTACTGCCAGCAGCACCCTAACCCGGGGCTTAAGGGTTAAATAAAATTATCCATTATGTAATTCAGTTTCAGAGCTTGAGTGATCAAATGTTATTACAGTACAGTACATGTATGATCATATCTTCCTCCTCATCATAAAGATATATTGTTATTTTAAGCAATCACTGGAGGTGATCAAAAAATCCTAACATCTGAATCTGAATGTCACAAAATGTGCATAAATCAATGTACAGTTCAATACATTTATATACATGTATTCAGTTATCTCAATAAATTTCCAATTATTTTTTATCTACAAACAATTGCTATTTAAACTACAAACATCCAATATCAAACTTCAAGAGACACACAATAATATAATGACATTAAATTTAGAAGCCTAATTAAAAAATAAAGCACTTCCAAGAAAAAGTTCAAATTCTGATTGATAATGTTCAGTAGGTGCTGTTATACTGTACAACTGTCTGTCAGTATATCAAATCTACCACTGTAACTCATAGGGATTTACACCAGACTCCAATGTAATGCTTTTGCAATTACTGTACTGGAAACATAGAATATGCCTTTATACCTACAGGAAGCGAATGGTTCTCATTTTAGCACCAGATGACAGTGATCATTAACACATCACCCTTAATAATGTATATTACTTCATCTTAACCAACCAATATATATAAAACAGCTATAAAAAAAAATTAATGTCAGTGAGCAACATTACAGGTACAGGTGTTTGTCTTCTTCCACCAGCAATAAAATACAGTTAATATATATAAAGGTCAAAATAAAACTTAACACTAACTTACCATAGAGTGCAGCAGTGGCTGGGTCCATTCCCGGAGGCAAGCCTCCACGGGATTTTTCCCCCCGCTCACCCTCACGACTCTTGTCCATCCTGTAAAACATAAATACCTATGTAATACTGTATCAACAAGCTAAATTCTTTATGATATACATACAACACTGTATTTAAAAAAAAATAGATAATTATTTTGAGAACATACAACTGTACTGTAATTTTCTGGTAATAAGGTTCTGACCTGCTTCGGAGTGAAAATTTCAAGTTATCAAGACTGAATGCATAGAGTGGGACCATCACAATGTTAACTGAGTGTACATCAAGTATAGCAAAACAGCAATAAAAGAGCTGTCAATGCACTGGTTACACAATGATGGTTTCAATTTTGTGCATCAATCTCATTTTGTTCGGTGTTTCAAGCATATATTAAAATCTCTCATTTCAAATCATTTTCCAACATAAAAAAAAAAATAAGATCCACCATTAGAACTGACACATCCACAAAAAATACACAAGCTTATTTTGTCAAATAACATCACAATAAACACTTAAACCTTTTAAAAAGTTTGGATATACAGTTCTGTATACTGTGCTTTACAATGCTTGCTCACCTAAAACCACCAACTTTTGACAAATAATGTATTAAATACAACACCCATTTTAGCAATTGATATGATGTTTACAAACACTTGCCAGTGTCATCTCCGTCAGATGAGCACTACATTACGTATATGTTTTATGCAAGAAGAGACAAACTGGCAAAACTTTACACTTTTACAGGGAAAACACAAACTCTAGAATGCATTTCTATTGAAGACAGCTTCTTTATTACCTCAAGAAAATCACCAAAAAATTATGAGGAATTGTAATTTTCATCTTTCTGTTCTTCCACAGTTCATGCTACAGTATAAATACGTAATGGACTTCCATCTGCCATGTACAGCCAATGACATGTCTGGCAACTGAACTGTTTTCAAATATTTCCCTCAAGCAACTTAACACCTACCAGAGACCTTTCCATTCCTTTGTCCAACCTAACCTAAAATATTGTACTGTACATACTGTATTTCCTTCCTAAAACAGTGAGGTCAGGTATGTTATTTTATCTCCAATAAATCTTATATGCACAGTATTTAGGTAAATACTGGAAAGGTCATCACGTAAACTATGAAACAATCGTCAGTTGGACGTTGTAGGTGGAATTACAATATCTCAAAAAAGTATCTGTCCACACTGTGTGAAACATTATGAGATCACGGATGATAGATATTGGGACATGCACGTTCCTGCCCTGCATAGTTTAACATTAGTAATGTAATGCGTAGTTATTTCAACGTAATTAATATGAAGTTTTGTTACCAAATGTAGTAGTAGTAGTACCCTGGTGAAGATTACCTGTCGGGATTTATTGCCAGGCTCGGCCCACATCTACGCGTTGACTCTATCAAGGCAGTTCGTGAATTGTTTAATGGATATTGCTTGAACAACATACTGATCCAGATTATTCCATTTGTCCACTTATTGTAGACTGAAAGCATGTCTTCTTTTTTCTTTTTTCAAATTTCCTTGATATACCTGTATTTGGTCTTGGAAATATTTATATCTGTCTACGTTTTCGTAACCATTCATTTTCTTGTAAGTGTCCTCTACTCCTTCTCTCTTCCAAAGCGGTTAATCCCAATTTTGCCAGTCTTTCCTCATAAGATAGATCAGTCAGTGATGGCACGATTTTTTTTGCTCTTCTCTGCACTTGCTCAATATTGTACTATCAATTTCAACTTTGTGATACGGCATCCACACCTGTACACAATATTCCAAGTGAGGTAGAATGTAGGTTAAATATAGAGTTTTAAAGAGTTCTTCATTTATGTAGGTAAATGTTCTCTTAGCAATTCCGAGTGACTGGTTTGCCTTTGCTATATGACTCTTAAACATTAAGTTGTTACTTATCACAGCTCCCAAGAACCTTATCTTCCTTTACAACATTCAGCGTTAGGTTATTCATATACCGTAGTAATAATCAATTTGAGGATTATTATTGCCGACATGAATTACAATACTGTAGTACAGTATATTTACTCGGATTAAAGTTTTACATGTACTCCTCTGACCAGTTGTTCATCAGATTTAAATTTCTCTGTAATCCTGAAGATTCCTCTGAATCCATCTTAACCTCTTCATAGATCTTGGTGTCATCATCAAATATTTTACACATTGATGTATCAATTTCAGATGTCAGATCACTTATATAACTTATAAATAATAAAGAGCTAATAACACTTCCCTGTGGAACACCACTGGTAATGGCTTTCCAGCTGGGTTCCATTCCATTCACCACCACTTTATACTTTCTACCACTGAGAAAATCCTCAATCCAGTTTAGGATTTGGCCTCTAATTCCCAATTTATTTCACTTATACATAAGTCTCTTATGTGAAACAGTCAAATGCTTTCTGGATATCCAAGACTACATCAAAAGTTTTATTCTCATCATCCCACAGAAGTCAGTCTTCAAACCTTTCTAGGAGGTTGGTTAAACATTATCTAAATCTTTGGAAGCCATGCTGTTGACAACATAATAACTTACTCTCTTCCAAATGCTCTACATTAACATTTCTCACTAATTTTTCTAAAATTTTACACACGGCATGTCAGGATAATGGGTCTATAACTGGAGGCCAAGCTACAATCACCTTTCTTGCAAACAGCTGTAACCAGGGCTACTTTCCAGTTGTTTGGGACTTTTCCACTCTGAAGTGATACATTGTACGCCACTCCTCGACTTACGACGGGGTTAGGGACCCAAATCCAGGTCGTAAGGCGAAAATGCGAAGATATTACATAGAAAATCTAAGATGGGTGTCTCTTTTTCTTCTCAGTACCACAAAACTCTCACTTTTAAGCATGCCAGCCATTTTAAAGGGAATTACAAACGAAAATTTTGTCAGTACACAGCTCAATCACTAACGTTGGGACTCGAAAATACGTAATTTGAATTTTTTTTTGGTGCAACCATGGCCGTCATATGTCCAGGTGGTCGTAAGTCGAGTAAATCGCAAGTCGAGGAGTGGCTGTACAGTGGGGTATGCTATAACGAACGGATCCTACTACGAATATTCCTATAACGAACGGTTTTACCTATAAAATTGAGAATGCTATAACGAACGAAACTCCTACAACGAACATTATTTATTTATTTATTTATTTTATTTATTTTTTTTTTTTACTAATTTATTGTTTTTTTATTACAAGTATTAATGATACTCATTATTTCAGGGGTTTAGATGCATATTTATGCACTTTTTTACAATTTTTACAATTTTATATTATATTTTTCAGTGTTAAGTGGTTGTATTTGGGGGCCTGGAACGGATTAATCCTATAACGAACGAATGCTATAACGAACAAGGTTCTAGAACCAATTAGATTCGTTATAGCATACCCCACTGTATTTGCTCAGAGGACTGTGGAATGTGGTCTCATAATATCTGTTGACAAGACGAGGGTCATCAATCCTTGTCCTGCCCACCCTCTGCCTCTTGACTTTAACATTAACAGCATGCCCTTGGAACTATGTAGCTCTTATAAATATCTTAGAATTTGTGTGAATGATGCAAACTTTGTCGGCAACCTTCGTGTGAAACTAATGCAGCGCATTAAACCCCTCAGAACCCTTATTGGCAAAGGCTATGGAATCAACATCACCTATGCTCGCACTTTCTATCTTCACTTCATTCTTTCTGTAGTTGACTATCATGCTCTCCATCTTGTGAATATTCTGCCTAAACAGCTCAACAGCCCTGAGGTAGTACAAAATGAAGCTATGTGCATCATTCTAGGATGCCCAAAACCAACCAGAATTGTTAACATGAGGAAAGAGCTCGGGCTGCCCTCCCAATCTGAGAGGATAGATCTGCTTAATGCCATGTTTTGTGTCAAACTTTTGAAGAACAATCATCCCCAAACTACAGCTCAAACTGAGTTGATGTTCTATCTAAGTAATCCCATCTATCTCGCTAACCTTCCACAAAAGACTCTCTTTGGGGCGTGGCTTCATAAAAGTATTGCAGATCTCTTGAAACTGAATGTCCCAATCACCCCAGACGAACCCATCAATGCCATTCCTCCCTGGCTGGATACTGTACATCAATTCCTATTAATTACACTCCTGTTGGTAGTAAGCAAATGTTCATCACCGATGTGATGAGATGTGTCACACTAAAAACTATTAGCAGACACATAGAGAGAATTAAATCAAGTGAATGTTAGCTTTTACTGATGGTTCTGTGCAGACAAACACAGGTAGAACAGGCTGTGCTATTGTAACATATAAAGAAAAAGAGATGAGTGACAAACAAGCAAAGACTGAACAACTGGGCCAGCACAACACAAACTGAACTAACTGGAATCTACTTAGCCACAGAATACCATAAAGAAAATGGAGGTGGAGTGATATTCTGTGACTCTCAAAGTGCTTTGAAATCAATGAACAGCCCGTCAGGTTCTATGTCTAAAGTTGTATTAAGATATTAAAAGAAATGTGATAACTGCCAATGAGAACAACTCTCTCATATCGAATTTGTGTGGATTCCGTCCCATGTTGGAATTAGGTATCATGACCATGCTAATAGACTGGCCAATGAGGCATGTAAGAAAGAAAATGTTGAACGTGACCTTGGGCTGTCCAATGCTGTACTTAAAAACATTCAAGTCAGAATCATGAACTCTGATCTAGAAGAACTGAGAAATGCTGAGAGACCTGGCAGTTGTAGCATTAGTAAATATGACAAATTTTGTGACGAGAGGTACCGGTATGGCCAGCATAAGGACAGAACCAGACAATGTGATGTAGTAGTGGCCAGAATCAGGCTAGGATACAGACACATTTGGCAAGTTAGTAACGCTGTACCCATACCGGAACGCTCAGCATGTAAACTTTGTGATAAACCTTTAAAGCATACAGTTGAACACTATATTATTGAATGTGACACTGTCAAAAACTTCAGGCCACCTGGCTTATTGTATCATGAACTTTGTAATTACTACATTGAATCAGGGGTGCTTGAGGACATTCTTGCTGTTTATTCCAAATCTGC